GGGAGGGTTTGATCCTGTAGCTCTGCTCTCAGGAACAAAGAAGGTCTTGTTCCCCATGTCCTGGGGAGCAGCTCCAGCAGTGTGTTGGTGCCCATGAGGTCTCTCTGCTCTGTGAAGGAGGTGCTCAGACTACAGAGGGTCATGGCAGAGTCTCAAGGGCCCTTTTGTCTTGGCAAGGAGGATTTTGCAACTTGAAGAACCTCATTGCAGAAATCCATGCAGTTTGAGTTGGGAAATGTTGGTCTCCATTGCATGTCTCCTCCTGCATTTCCCTGTGAGGGTGGTGAGGGGTGGGAACAGGCTGCCCAGAGAAGATATGTCTGCCCCATCTCTGGAACTGTTCAAGACAGGCTTGGACAGGCCTTGGAGCAACCCAGGCTAGTGGAAGGTGTCCCTTCCCATGGCAGGGTGTGAAATGAGATGAGCTTTGTCCTTCAAACCCAAACCATTCTGGGATTCTCCAGTCCAGCACCATTGCCAGGAAACTATGCCAAGAAAACCCTTCCCTGTAAACAGGTCTTACCCAATAGGCTCATTCTTAAAACAAAGGTAGCCTGGAGAAGATCTATTATGCCTTTCACTCAGTGCCTGATGGTTCATGGCATGGCTTATGCCAGCCTGTGCTTTTATAGATCATAGATGTAGATATAGATTATAGATAAAACAGGCCAGGTTGGATGGGGCTTGGAGCAACCTGGGCTAGTGGAAGGTGTCCCTGTCCATGGCAGGAGGTGAAATGAGATGAGCTTTGTCCTTCCAACCCAACCCATTCCATGATTCCATGATTTTAGGTCTCTAAGTGCATATATAATTGCCTGAAGCTCCAGCAAAGGGCACCCCCCGCCCCGGCAGCAGAGGAGCTGTTCAGTATGCAGCACAGCAGAGCCTTTAACATTTCGCAGAACAGATGCCCACTGAGCATCTTGAAACACATCCAAAGGTAGCAGTGACGGCTGCTGTCAGGGAAACAGTAATCCCACGGCCTCAGCAGCCTCAGCTGCGCCACAGCTCCTGCACCGAGCCACGTGCCACGGGGGCTGTGCTGCTGGAGGCTTTGTGTGAGGGAAGGAGCTGGTTTGGAGGTGTCCTAGCACAGGCAGGGGTGCACATGGGGTGTCAGAGACTGTAATCTTCTCATCAGCCAAAATTTCTTTCCCTGCGCAGCTGCTGGTGAGGAGGGAAATGCTGGTTGTGGCTTCGTGCTGCAGGAAGCATCCAAGCACGGCTGTCCTGACCCATTGTGCTGCTGGGTGATGATCCCTGTGCTGGAGGGAGGAGGAAGGAAAGACTTTGGGAGTGAGGAGGGAGAGGGGGTGGAGTGTTATTTGGCTTCATCATCCCCTAGCTGATGTCTGACATCATTTCTCCTGAAAGCACAGTAGGACCAGGCAGCTCCAGAGGCAGGATTAGGATCACACAAGTGTTGAACCCTCTGTTGGATGAACTCCTTCCATGGCATCCCTTCTGTCTCTGCACCAATATGCAGATCCAACTGGAAAGGAGGGTGGGCAGAAATGAGTTTTGGATGGTGGTGTTATCTCATGGGGAAGAACTCTGTTCTCTGCTCAGAATCCCCCTATCACCTCTGTACCCACACCAGCAAAGCACCCAGACCCTGCTGGGTGAGGGCACCATGGTCTGCATCCTCCTGGATGCAGGAAAATCTGGAGCAGCTGGGATGGATGGAGCACACCAGCAGCAGCAAGGCCACCTGCAGGAGCTGGATAGGCTCATAGGGCACAGGGACCCACCTCAGGACCCCATGGAAGATGGACACAACCCTTGCCACGGGTGCTCAGGGCAGTGCCAGGTTTGGAAGTGACACTCAGCACTGTGGGGGAGAGGCATTAAACAAAGACCCAGCATGAGTTTAACTGGTCTCCCTGGCCTGGGAATTCCCTGGAAAGCAGGGAGCACTGGCTGTGCCACCACACACACTGTCTGATGCACTGGGCTGGTAGCAGGTGGCCAGGGCAGAGGGTAATGTGGCTGTTCCCTGGGGTGTGCTCCGGCCTGTCAGCGTGGGCAGTGACAGCCAGACCCCACACTGGGCTTAGAGCAGAGAGAAGACAGGAAGAAAGGGATGGAGGGGAATCACAGGGCTTGTCCCAGAAGCTCACAATAGTCACAGTAATAATGTGGTTTACCCCCCACCATGCTGTGCTGCCAACAGGTTGGAGGGATCCATATGGGAAGCAGTGCTGGTGTTTGTGGGGAGCACAGGGATGGAAGGGGGATCAGTGAAGAGGCATCTCCCCTCCCTCTTCATGCCCAGTCTGAAATGAACCCTCCTCCTCCTCTCCCTGACCGTGTGGGGAACATCTGGGAGGGGTCAGCCCGGGAGGTGTGTGTGTGTCTCCTCCAAAAAGGCCACTGCAGTTGGTGGTGACACTGCTCAGTGTGGGGCACAGCTCCACAGGCAGATGTGAGCAGAGACTGTCTGTGATCTGTCTGGAGCTGGGATGACAGTGATGGCCATGCAGGGATGATGGTGAAGGCCACATAGGGATGATGCTCATGGCTACACAGGGATGGTGGTGGTGACTACAGGGATACTGACACCCTCAGCCAGCCTGGCTCCAGCTGCCACCCAGCTGGGATCCCTAGTGACCCTGCTACAGCACTGGGCTCCTGCATTGCCTTGGCATAGCTGGCACAGCTGGCAGGGCTGAGATGGGTGCTCCACATGGCCCTGGGAGCTCAGGCTGCTGCCAGCTCAGGTGTTTCATTGTGGTACAGACATGTCCTGACATCCCAGTGCCAGCAGCAAAGCACAGACATCCCTAGCTGGGAATGGGATCTGAGGCCAGGCAAGGTCTGTGCATAAGGAGGTGGGAGTAGGGCAGACACAAAGCCCTGGTGATGGGCTCTGCCCTGGCAGTTTGCTTTGCAGTCTCCAGAGGAAGCAGCATGGCTGACACCTCCCTGCAGGCTTAAGGACGCCAAGAATTCTGTTCTTGCTCACTGAAAGGAGAGATAAGGGATGTGAGTTGTCCAGGCAGGCACAGAGAGCCCTTCAGCTTTCACATCAGGAGACCTTGGAGCAGAGAAATCTCCTGCTCCCACCCAGGTCTGTCTCACTGACCCAACCATCCCTTGGACCTGTCCCAGGGATCACTCACCCCATCAGAGCACAGGAAAATGCAAATGTGGCTGTTTCCCTGCATTTACATCCCAGAGAGCAGCATGGAAACTGTGTGTCACTGAGCCAGGGCTGAATTCCCTCTCCTCTCCCTGTCTTCTCTGTGTGCATAAGCAGCTCCTGATCTCCGTGCTGGAAGCTCATGGCTCTCTGCTCTCCAGTGCCACCGTTTAATTAATGTTCCCTCTCCCTTTCTCTGTCAGTCACACATGCCACAGTGATCCTGGTGCAGAAGGTAGTTCATCACAGCAGTCAGGAGCTCCTTTCCACCCTGAGCAGCCAAACACCCCGAGAGCTCCAGTTTCTAACTCTCCCCCAACTTCAGAATATTCCAGACAGCCTTCACCATCCACAGAGTGCCAAGGGGCAGGCAAATACAGGAGCAATTAATCATTCCCTGGCTGAGCTGAGCTGCTCAGGATTTTGGCACATGCCAGCTGAGCAGGGACACAGCTCTTTTGGTGAACAGCCTGGATTTCAGGACTGATTCTGATGTTTCATTGCTCTGTCACCATGTTTGCAGCACCATGTGCAACCTCCATGGTGTGCAAGAGGCAAGCTGGGAATGGGGTGTGGAAAGCTGTGTTGCTGGTGGGATGTCCTACATTACCTGGGCTTGGGAAGTGTGCTGGGAATGCTGCAAAGTGGCATTTTAGGAGGGCAAAAGGAGCACAGGGAAGAAAGGGAACAAGGCAGAGATGGGGTTGAGTGATGTGAACAGTGGAGTGCCATGTGAAGACCCTGGAAGAGAAGGGACCTCATCCCTGAGGGAGTAGACTGGGGTCCACATGGTTCTTGGAAGTGGGGAGGCTCTTCCTGGGCCATCCAACAAAGTCCCCAAGCCTGAACACATCTCAGAGCCCTCTGAGTGCTCTCACCAGCTCCTTGCACAGCTCTTCCTAAACCAGAGGTTTATCAGGGCCTCCTGGCTCAGCCAGCTCCCAACCACAGGAATGCTGAGGTTCAGCACCCCATCCTGTCCTCCTTCCCTGCATTTTGACCCATGCTTGAGGGGGGGTACAGCATGCACAGCTCCTGCAGCCCCAACAGTGCTGGAAGCTGCTTTTCCCACTCCCAATCTTCGCTTTCCAGTGGCAGTGAGAGGAGGCGTGAGTGCAGTCACGGTGGGGAGCAGGCTGGGTGTGTGGACACAGTGACAGTGTGCATCATTAGGGACAGGATGGAGCCTGATGTGCAGAGGAGAGCTGAGGGCCCCCCTGGAGCTGCCATCAAGGCTCTGAAATGGAAATGGAGGTCCCCAGGCCCCCCCTGGTTGGTGAAGGCTCTATTAGCAGGATGTGAGTAATCATCATAAGCAGCTATCAAAGTGCACCAGCTTGTTCAGCATTGAGCCAGGCTGTGCTGACATGACCTCCCTCCTCAATCTTCCCAGCCTCAGCACGAGTGGCTAATTACAGAATCACACCTGCCACACACCACCTTCCCCTGCAGGAAGGGCCCAACGTGTTGCTCAGGACAGGCTCAGCTTCCCAATGCTATTCTCCACCCTTTTTTCATGGAGACACAGAGTGGTTTAAGTTGGAACCTTAAAATTCTTCTGTTTCCATCCCTTGTCATGGTCAGGGACACCTCCCACTAGCCCAGGTTGCTCCAAGCCCCATCCAACCTGGCCTTGAACACTTCCAGGGATGAGGCAGCCTCAGATTCTCTGGGCAACCTGTGGCACTGCCTCAGCACCCTCACAGGAAGGAATTCCTTCCCAATATCCCATCTAACCTGCTCTCTGGCAGTGAGAAGCTATTTTTCCTTGCAGCATCACCCATGTTCCACATTCACCTGCTGGGAAAGGCAGAGGGGATCAAGGAAATGGACTCTGATGGAGCTGCTTGCTTTCCAGGAGACACAGCAGCGTATCAGGACGGAGTGTACTGGATCAAGGGTCGCACCTCGGTGGACATCATCAAAAACGGGGGGTTCAAAATCAGCGCCCTGGAGGTGGAGAGGCACCTGCTCGGGCACCCACACATCACAGGTACCTGCTCTGCCCCGGGCTGTGTTGAGAAGGACAGCCTGCCTGCAGTGACAGCCCTGGCTCAGCCAGGGAGGACGTGAGGGTTCATGCCTGGAGCTCCCTCCCAGCCCTCCCACCAGCGAGGCTGGTCTGAGCCAACAGCAGGCTGTGTTTATATCCCACTGTTCCTTCTCTCCCAGGGCTGAAGCCCATGGCCAGGTGCTGAGTCAGCAGCAGCTCCCATCTGATTTTGGAAATAAGACTGTAATTAAATCTGTCCTGCCCTTGTGCATGACCCTGTATGAGGGGACAGAAGTGGTGCCCCCAGCTGCATACCGCTCTGTGCATCATCTTCCTCCCTGTGGACTCTAAATTGCTCAAACCATGGGCCTTCCTGCCTTTTCTGTGGTAAAGAGGTCTGGTCTTGTGTCAGCACAGAAACCCAGTGTTTTCCTGTACTGACATCCCATGGCATTTTCCTCCCCACACACCTCTGCTGCTGACACCTGAACCTCTCTTCTACCCACCTTCACCCCAGAAGCTGCTCAGGTTCCTCAATCCAACTCTGCTTTCTCCTCAGACGTGGCTGTGATTGGGCCCCCAGACATGGTATGGGGGCAGAGGGTCAGTGCTGTTGTGCAGCTGCGCAAGGGTGAGATGCTCTCAGTGAAGGACCTGAAGGACTGGGCCAGGTAAGATACCACAGGGAGCTGCGTGGGGAAGACAGGCTCAGAGTGCAGCATCCTCATCAGAAAATGCCACAGAATCAGAAAACAGTTTGGATTGAAAGGACCTTAAAGGCCATCCCATCCCCTGCCATGGGCAGGGACATCTTCTACCAGCCCAGGTTGCTCCAAGCCCCATCCAACCTGACCTGGAACACTGCCAGGGTTGAGGCAGCCACAGCTTCTCTGGGCAACCTGTGCCAGTGCCTCAGCACCCTCACAGGAGAAATTTCTTCCCAAAATCCCATCTATCCCTGCCCTCTGACAGTGTAGAGCCATTTCCCCTTACCCTGTCACTCCAGGCCCTTGTAACTAGTCTCTCTCCAGCTTTCCTGTAGCTTCTTCAGGCATTGGAAAGCCACAATTAAGTCACCCTGAAGCTTCCTTTCTCTCAACGTTTCCTAATAGAAGAGGTGCTCACCATGCTGCATGTTGGCTATTCATCCCTTAAACTCCTGTCAGGGACACTGATGACCCACCCCAGCAGGTCCCTTCACCCCCTGCTGTAGCCTTACAGATCACCCAGGAGTTGCTCGTGGGGGTCCCTGGCACAGGGCAGGGGCTGCTCTCAGCCCCGCTGTGTACTCCCTTGCCTGCCCCCTCCCAGAGCATCCCTGCACGTCTCTTCCCATCACTGTCCCCAGCTCTGAGACAGAAATGTTGCTCTTGTGCCCTTGACACCAAACCCCAGAGGGTCTGGCTGCCCACCCGGGCTGTGCTCCCTGCCCGGCGCTGGCTCCGGGCACCGCTCCTGCCTCTCCCTCTCGCCCTGTCTCTCCCCTTTAGTTTTCATGTCACTTACGTTGGCTTGGCCCCTTTTCTCGCACTCCCTGGCAGGAGACACATGTCCCTCTTCAGAGTGATTCATTTCGCGGCTCTCGCCTCCGATCGTGCTTCCCGGCGACAGGCGCCATCCCGAGTTAGCGGATCCATATGGCAGGGGCGCTGGTGGCTGCGGGGGGAGGAGACCAGCAGAGGGTTGAAGGGCTCAGCAGACTTGGCATCTCGCATTAGAGTCAGTGCCAGGACGCTGCCGGGGCCGGGCACGGCCCCAGGTTGGTGACACACGGCAGCAGAAGGCAGGAGAGACTCCCCTCTGTGCTTTGCAAAGGGCACAGGGATGATGCTCAGTGCTCAAACCTCTTCCCACATCAAGACCCACCCTGTGGGCTTTGTGGCTGTGATCACTGACAAGTCACCTGCACACTCCTGGGGAAATGACCCACCCGCAGTCTTGGTTCTCAGGGACTGGCACCAGTAACACATGGGGTCCAGCATCCATCACACTGCTGTGCATTGCCCCTGTCTCTAGCAGTGAGGATCACCAAGTCCAACTCACGTTGAAGGGTCTCCGTGCCTCCTTCTGAGAGGTGGGTGGGTGTTTTGGGGTGCTGCATGGCAGGGCTGATAGCACATGTGCTCCCAAAGGGCAGGGGAGTGGGCAGCCAAGGGTGACACTCATAAATGAGCTGGAGGTGTCAAGCAGAGCCAGGTACTGATCACAGGGTCCATCTCCAGCCCAAAACACAGCAAGTGTTTTGGGCTGGAGCCCACACAGCAAGTGTGGCCCAGAGTGCCACCAAGGAGCAGAGGCAGGAGCAAAACAGAGCTAGAGGTGAGTTGTGGTGTGGGGACGGAGCCCTCCCAGGAGACAGGGACAGGGCTGGAGGTGAGCCCTGCATGCCAGAGGGGTCCCCAGGGATGAGTTGTGCCTTGCAGAGACAGGCCAGGAGCAGGCAGCCCACCCCTAGGCTCCAGAGGGACTGTGAGCCCAGGACTGAGCTTAAATGGTTATGGGTGAGGGTCCCAGCTGGGGCTGATCAGGGCCATTAGGGTGCTCCAGGGACAGCTCAGCTCATGCTGGTCCTGGTCAGATCTAACTGATTGAACATCTGTGTTCCAGGGAGACCATGGCTCCATACACCATCCCAACGGAGCTGATCGTGGTGGAGGAGATCCCACGCAACCAGATGGGCAAAGTGAACAAGAAGGAGCTTCTGCAGCGCTTCTACCCAGCCTAGTGCCCAGCCCCAGGCCAGGGCTGGGTCCCCAGGGCTGCTTGGTGCTCTGCCATGTCTGTTCTGCCACTGACAAGGTGCTGCAAGATAAGCAGTGTCAGTCTGGGCTCGCTGCAGTCTGAGCCATGAATAAAGTCCAATAAAAGTAGGATTTATCCCACCTGGCCTGTTTGGCTGAGCTGAGCCAAACTGCAGGGATAGAGTTTCCTTGTGTGGGAGCTCTTTGCAGGAGTCACAGAATCACAGAATGGTTTGGGTTGGAGGGACCTGAAAGTTCATCTCATTCCAACCCCTGCCACAGGCAGGGACACCTTCCGCTAGCCCAGGTTGCTCCAAGCCCCATCCAGCCTGGCCTGGAACACTCCCAGCGGCAGTGACAGCTTCTCTGGGCAACCTGTGCCAGTGCCTCACCACCCTCACAGTGAGGAGTTTCCCAGCAGAAGTGAAGAATAAATACCAAATCACACATAAATGCTGACTGTATTAGCCAGTGCATCTCCCATCAGGAGGTGCTCCTGGTGCACCTGATGGGTTTCCACCTGTGTTACTCATCCCAGAGTGGAAGGGGAAGATGGAGGAGGAAGGGGCAGGGATGGCTGCCAGGGACTTGCAGGGACCTCAGTGTGATCAGAGAGCCATGAAACAATGGATAATATGCAGATACCCCTGTGAGATGGGAGGAACAGCATGGCCAGGTTGAGATTTTGGCCATGGCCACAGTGGGGCAAGGAGCGCAAGCCATGGTGGGCACACAGTCTGGCTGGAATGAGGGCAGAGCTGAGAGAGGTGTCAGAGACACCAGGGAGCAGATGCAACACAAATCATACTGCGCGCGTGCGCGCGTGTGTGTGTGTGTGCGTGCGTGCTGAAACCATTGCCCACATCTGAAGGTCATCACTTACCTGGAGGACAGGCAGTATTGATGGACCTCACCTTTATACCTGAATTTTGTCCCTGTTTGTCTTCATGTGTGAGCTGCCAGTTCTGGGGGTCAATAATGCCAGCGGGGAACAGTGGCCATTCCCTGCAGGTCCCCAACCACTGGGTCCATCCCACTGCACTAGGAACACTGTGGGATGCTGGTCTGATCCTGTCCTGTGCTGAGGGGGTGAAGGAAGCCCCAGTTTCCCCCAGCAGTTGATGGGGCCCTGGAAGCACCAGGAAGGGCAAGAGGAACAGGAGCTTAAGTAATTACAGCAATACCTTTGTGAGGGTCAGCGGAGCCCCAGAAACCTGTCAGGACACAGCACGAACAGGAAGAGGACATGGAGGGGACAGCTGGCAGGTACATAGCACTGAGAGAAGGAGCAGGGATGGGACAGGGACATGAGAAGGGATGGGAAAAGGGGAAGGGGATATGGATAGGGTCAGGTTTCTGCTGCAGCAACTCCATCCCACCTCACCCAAACAGGAGTCTGGCCCTGTGTCCATCCTGACACCTTGCCCATGGCAGCATCTCCTAGGACACAGATTTCGGTAGTTTGGGCTCAGAAGGAGTTGGGATGGGGACAGCAGGGACACATGGAGCTCACAGAGTCACCCTGCAGTGCCCTCCAGCACTCCAGCCCACAGGCACACCTGGAGCACTGTTGGCTCACCCTGACCTGCGGGAGGGCCTGAGCGGATCCTTTGTTAAAACATCGACGATGCAGTAAATTTTTTAACTTACCAAATAGATCAATATCAAATTATCATGTCTCACATTCATAACTCTTAAGCAAGCAACAATGGAGAGAGACAAGGTCACTGGAGAATAAATAGCAGCGAAAGCTCTTAATGATCTATCATTCTCGACAACCCCGGGCACCCTGCACCAGCGCAGTGACAAGATCATTAATAAAACTCTGCAGGAACGCTATCGATTGCTTTGATGGATGATCACAGGTAGCAAATACTGTAAAACACCTGGTTGTCACACACAGAATGAGTAGTTTGACTCCCACCTCAGAGTGGGGACTTGGCTGTGGCTCTGCCGGGTTTGCTCCTCAGTGGTTTCCACAGGGAGGGTGCTTGGCAGTGAACCCCTGATTGGAGATGGACCCCATGCTCCCACCTGCACTCCCCCACCACTGTTTATCCCTATAGATAGGACCTGTTAATTAGAAGCCTCATTAAAACACTTGGCTGTGGTGCCCCAGAGCCTAGACTGGGAGCTGAGCTGGCTGGAGTTGGGGTTGGGCAACCCAGTGCCACTGGATGAACCTGGAGACCTCTCCATCCCCTCTCCGCTGGATGCAGCACCAAGATACAGACAGTCGGGAATTGAGGGATGTATGGGGGTCCCCAAGGCCATAGGCTCTGCTCCCCCAATGCTGCTCCCATCGGGGTGGGGGGTGGGGGCTGTGTGTGGCCCCCACACCACTCCAGACACTTCACTTGCAAGCCACGTCGGCATTGACGGTCGGATCATATGTACACAACCATTCAATTACCCTGTAATGGCTACAGGCGATTAAGCCATCAATCTCCTTCATTAAGGCCTGCCAGGCCCAGCCCAGCATCACCCAATAAAACCATTAAAACAACAACAACCCAAAGCAGCAGCTTCAACACATCATCGGTAACACCTGTCCCACCAGTGGTGCTGGAGATGTCCCCGACCCTGGGGCACACAGGGACCTGCTCTCCTCCAGTGAGTATCACTCTGTTGGGCTGTGCTGGGGGCTGCACAGTCCTCCATGCCCCCAGTCTTGGTATGCCAGGACCTGCTGTTGTGCTTTATAGCTGACATTATCTTTTATTGCCATATAAAATTGAGGCTCCGGTGGCTTTATGGCCATTGTGCCGGTGTGTGGCACCTCTGTGCTCCCAGCTGTGTGCTCTGCCCTCGCTGGGTGCTGCCCTGACCCCACAGTCCCTGCACTGGGGTCACAACTGGTCCCAGTTCACCCCACATGAAGGACATGCCTGGTCCCACACTGGGGTACAACTGGTCCCACTGCACCCTGCATGAGGGACGTGACTGGTCTCACTGCATAACAATTAGGGACATGACTGGTCCCACACTGGGGTACCACTGGTCCCACTGCATCCTGCATGAAGGACATGACTGATGCCAAAACTGTCGTGGTTTAACCCCAGCAGCAGCCAAGAACCACACAGCCTCTCACTCACTCCCCCACCAGCGGGATGGGGGAGCGAATCAGAAGGGTAAAAGCTTCAAAAACTCATGGGTTGAGGTAAAGACAGTTTAATAGAGAAAGCAAAAGCTGCACACACAAGCAAAGCAAAACAAGGAATTAATTCACTGCTTCCCAAAGACAGGAGGTGTTCAGCCATCTCCAGGAGAGCAGGGCCCCATCATGCCTAACGGTTCCTTGGGAAGACAGACGCCATCACTCCAGATGTCCCCCCTTCCTCCTTCTCCCTCCCACCTTATATACTGAGCATGATGTCATATGGTATGGAAGATACCTTTGGTCAGTTTGGGACACCTGTCCCAGCTGTGTCTCCTCCCAGTCTCCCATGCATCCCCAACTTCCTTGCCAGTGTGGCAGTATGGAA